CCGAAAACTGCGCTACAATTGGTTCTGAAGACAACGTGCAATATAAATAAAATAATGTAATTCCTCTAATATCAAGACATTTTTCCTCGCACCCCGTTATTACGGACTCTCGTTATTACGGACACCCTCTCCCCTTTATGACCTTAACCGCCCAGGCTGGCTTTCCTCGGTTCTTTTCTCACTACTTTTCATTACGTTCTACTACGAAAAAAATACTTTAAGGACTTCAGCGTCGATTCGCTTTGGGAAAGTTGGGAGACTCACTGAGAAAACTTATTAACTCTTTTTCCTAATAAAGGTTGTGATTGTCTAGTAGTATGCCAGTAGTATGTCAGTTTATGTTCTTCGTTTGAGTGCTTTCGATAATCTGTAGATGATGTTTGAATGAAAACGAGCCTTTCTGGTTTCGTGATTAAGACATGGACATAAAGCATAAACACATTAATCAATAGTCTCTTTAGTAGCATGACATATGAAAGTAAATCCGTTCATCAAAGGCTTTTGATGCGAAATCTCAGCGTGCGTCTCCTTCACCGCTACACTTTGAATTCGAATTTAGTGCCATTAAATATTGAACAGCTCAACGAGAATAACTGATGGTTCGTCAATGATCTACAGCTGGTGTTCATTGCAGCCGACACTGCAATAATAATGGCGGGTTACGTTTTGGTTAGAGTTAATCTGGCGTTCTTAGCAACAGTACTCTTTCACTTTTTTACGATATTTTAAAAAAGATATAGCTTTTAACTGAGGATACGGCAGCACAAGATGATCAAGTTTACAGCGAAGACGGACGATTTCAGCTTTTAATATACCAATGGCTGAGCAGGTCGCCCACGTATTTTTTCGTCCATGAACAATATTTTCAAGACATAGATTATTTGAAAACCGATGCCTCAAAAAATAAACATATGTATCACTGGAAGGCTAATGTAAATGCCATACCGTGGTACAAATTCTTCTGAAAATGCCAACCCTAAATCAATCTAAATAGGTGACATTTTCATTTTGAATGGACAAAGTTGCTTTTTTTTCATATGCCAATTACGATATCGGGAAATTTATTACGCTTTGAGAACGTTTCAAGCAAAACATTTTCTTATTTTTGGACTGTTACCGTTATTTAGTTATAGTCATCAATTTTTAATACATAACTTGGAGGCAGCTTTTTACCGTGAAAATTCTGGTAATGAATGAAAAGCGGCTTTAAATCAACACAGTAGCGAAACCAACGAAAAACGTTTTTTTTTGATAAATTACAGCTGCCAAGTTATTCAAAGACTTTCATTTTATTTTCAGGTCTAACGTCATAATGACCAAAATAAATAAATTTTACAGAAGTATAGAGCTCTAAATACATTTTAACAGCTACCGCAGTAACAGGTGCTAACTCACTTATTATCTTAATTTTTACATTAAGACAAAAAATTGCTTTTAGAGCAAAAGTTCTTATTTGTAATTTCCGTGTGTTTTAAGTGATAACCTGTGGTCAGCTAAAAACAGAGCTCTATCGGTTCATTTACCAATCCGGAGAGAAGATGAGCACCAAGTTTGCAGTTTTTCTCATCTTGACATTTGTTGTATCAACCGTTTATCTTCCTTCGTGTAACAGTTTTGGTTTACAAGCAAGGAAGCGAAAAGAAATGCAGGTATTTAAAGACTTTAATTCGTTTAACAACCTACCCTTCTGAACATCACTTCATAAAACTCGCCGACTTGCTTAAAACAACGTTCATAGCCAAAACCAAGCCCGTCCCACGCGAAAAATATATATATATATATATATATTGTCTGTGTTTCAACATGGTCTCTTTTAGAGGTCAAAAAAAGCTTGGGCCACGTCCAGATGGGTCTCCTTTATGAGTTTAACTCAAAATTTCCGACGAGCTTCCCCACCCCTTTCATAAGCGGAGTCCCCCCCGGGAACCAAGCACATGAAATCTATAGAAAGAGGACTCAGTGATGTGTAATCTTTTCGCTCGCTTTAGCGTTGTCATAATTAAATTGTTAACGGTCTGAGATGGCATGGATATCATCACGTGTTGTTCTCTATGTGTTACTTCTCTATCAATTCTTCTTTTGACTTTAGAACACCTTCATCTTTTTGTTTTGTTTTGTTTTTTCCAATCGCTAACCTGTTCCCACGTTTATATAGTTTTGGTGGAGGGCTTAGTTGACACGTTCATGATTCTACTCTGATCTTGACTTTTGTTTGCTTTCTGTTGTTCAGACTAAGGGACCAGTGGTGTGTAGTGTTGCCTTACAATACTGCCGCAAGCCTCAGTTTTCACAAAAGAACCTGCCCCAACAAGATTCTCCACGCCACCCTGACGTTTCACGGTGAATGGTCATACCACAAAGCTAGAGGCAATCAAACACCGCTCAAAATAAAAACAAAATTATCCATGATAACATATTAATAAAAGGAAACTTGTGCATCAAAATTGTTTGCGTTCAGAGCCACACGTAAAAGACGTAAAACCCAGCAACATATATTATTATCGGAACACCAAGGCCACATCCTGACCTAATTTCTTACCGAGGCCGCATAATCTGAGAACAAACATTTCCCCATTTTTTCTTACTGATTTTTTCATTGCGTTTACATCTAGTGGGTCCGTGAGTCATTCGTCCGTTTAATTTTCAATTTAAAACAACAAGACGCCTAAAGTCGTTTCCGTGGGATGCATTGGTCTATGGAAGCATAATGGCGTTCTATCTGAATTTGGAAAAATTAGGGAAACCAGAAAGATGTGTCAGGTTATGAGCATCGATGAGTAGGTAACCTGTATGGGTTGGTTTAATGTGCTTATGACTGAATTTATAGTAGCCTGCGTGGCAACCTACTATTTATCCCCAATCCACATCCCCTTTTGCTTCCTCCCTATCCCCTACCCCTTTCGACACCTGCTACGCAAGCTAAATTTATAGTTGTCAGTGGTCGCAAGGATGAAGTTGATCTTGTTTTGATCTATCGCTATGTAGTTATTTTCGTAGCACGATTTGGTTAAGAAAAAGAAGTTATTTTGCATCAAAACAAGGTTTACCCGTGTAACTTAAATTGGAATGTTAACGGAAACAACTAATGGAGAAGATGCGCATAATGCTCTCTGATTAACCTGAACAGGAACTATATGTATAAAGATACGTCATATCTTGGTAGTAAGTTGCCACAGGTAACTTTTTCAAAGAGAAATAAACATTGTAGTTTTAGGTTAATGGAACAAACAAAACAAAACATCTGCTTGCTTTATCCAGGGTCGAACCCAGGGTTACAAAGTTCGATAAAGTTCCATTAATGTTTTAATCCAAGATGAAAGTTTAATATTCCAAGATGCTCTTGATACGGTTAAAAATTAATTGCAATGTGTTTCCAAGGTCTCAAAGTTAACATAGTTACAATGATTATCCCTGATTCCAAGGTATAATAAGTTTACTAAGGTCCTGATCCGTGTCCCATCCAGAAGTCCAATCCATGCCGAAAGCGAGTCGTCGATACATACATACATACATACATACATACTTTATTTGTCATGTAGGTCAGTGAAAAAAGAGGCAGCTAAAGAGCTGATGTGGACCTACAAACTAAAAAGTATCTACAAAAAAAGTAACTAATAATATTAACAAACCAATGAATTATTTACAATGAGTAAGGAAAAATAAAACAATACCTAGCAAGATAAACAACTGTTGACTGTTGCCTTAATATATATAATTTACAATATCTTTATTTATTCCCTGTAACCCATTAAATGTTATTTTATCTAAAATGTCAGATTTTTCTTTAAGAGCAGATTTAAAAGAACCAATATTGGGTTTGCTCTTTAAGTACATGGGTAAGTTATTCCATAGAATAGACGCACGATGAGAGAAGGAAGATCGAAGGAAGTCACTTTTAGGGCAACGCACGTATAGTTTCAGACTGTCCCTGAGATTTCTTAATGGAGAATGTTTAATAAATAAAGAATTTATA